CCTTTTTTTTCTGCCCGTGAAAGAAAGCAGAAAGATATGACCTTTTATTTCTTCTATTTATTTTACTTTTTCATTTCTCGGCAGATTTAATTAATTAATTTCAATTTTGAAATATGGTCTAAAAAATATGCTTTCCACTCACTGAAGCAGTCGTTTCAAAAAGAGCAAACTTCGCTCCATCTGTTCACAAAAAAACTGACCATGAGACTTCCACAAATCGATTTCTCTTTAGACATTGTTTGACGCTTGTTGTTTTTATACTGTTTCAGTAACGGAATTACTTTTTTTTTGTTTTTTTCTTTTTTATTTTTATTAATCCAAAAAATTTTCTGAATTCTAATCAAAGGCGGAAGAAGAATTAAAGAGGAAGGGAGGAAGCGAAAAGGTTTGGAAGAAGAAATGAAAGAAAAAGGTTTTGAAGGTTATTAGGGATTTTTAGTTATTATGTTGACTGCGTAGTGCAATTGAACGTTTTTCAGTAATTATCAAGGATATTTTCATATGGTTCTTCATTTTTTTAAACTCACTATAGTGAGCAAACGAAGGAAGGAGACGATAAAGCAAAATTTATTTTTTAGTTTATTTTTTGTGGTGGTAATGAATTCTGAGTCAGTAGTGAAGTTGTTCTTGGACAGTGCCACTTTGTAGCAATTTTTTTTGTTTTGAACTGGGCAGTAATTGGGGATGGCGTTGTGAATATGGATCTGATGAAGTTGTGCACAATCTTTCAGAAAAAGTAACTTAAGTTTTTTACTTTGGGTCTTATCAGCTATTACAGGGCGTCGACAACAGCATTCGGTAAATTTGAGGACAAAAGGTGCTACAGAAGCATCTTGTTTTGTTAACGTATCTAATCTTCAAAGCAGCTTACCGTTGTTGCGTAATTTTAACCGGGCGGGGGGATGGAGATGATGGCAAGATGGGGGATAAAGTACGCAATTTTTTGCATTACTCTAGTAATTATTCCGGTTCATTCTTTCATTTTCAAGCTTTTTTTTGATAACCAAAAAAAAAAAAAAAGAAAATTGCTTTCCTGTCTCATGGTGTTTTGTTGTATGTTATCAGCTATCTGTATGTTGAAAGAGGAGGAATCTGAATTTGTTGTTGTCTGGGCGGATTCTGCGGATTTTACCAGTGGCATTTTCATAAGTGTTGTCTGGATGTTGGATCAAATGGTTGATGGGTTTTTTCTACTAGCCAGTTGAATCATGATGAACGGGCATGATGTTTTTTGTGGTATTATTGTTTTCATTGGTTGACTGATATAATGGCATAAACCACACTCACTTAGTTGCCTCGCCAATTCTAACAATGTGTATAAGGTTGTTGTTTAAAAATATTTTTGAACTAAACTAATAAATTTGTCTGCTTAGATTTGTAGATTCTGTTGTCATTGATGTTGTTAACTTTTTTATTTGCAGAACGTCTAAAGTGTCTTTTTTTGTATAAAGTGTACGGCATATTTTTTGACTGGTTGTGAGGAGAGGAAGGAAGATAGGTTTATTGG